AATTCAGTAATTTTAAATCATATCAAGTAATTCAGAAGTCAGTAATTCAGTAATTTTAAATCATATCAAGTAAATCAGTAATTTCAAATCATATCTAGTAATTCAAAATTTAGTAATTTATAAATAGTAAAGTATATCAAGTAATTGAAATGTCAGTGATTTAAAAGTAAATCATACATTAAATATTTACCGTAATTCAAAAGTCAGTAAGTGAGTAATATTAAATCATATCAAGTAAGTCAAAAGCCAGTAAGTCATAAATGGTAATTTCATTAAGTTATTTTAGTGTCAGTATCTCATATATGTCAAAATATAGGAAATAATTTACATGTCATTAAAAATGGCAAATCAGAGAAAACAATTTTAAAATAAGTAATAATAAATTATATTAAGTAATTCATATGTTAAACAGTAAATTTGTAATATTTTGCTATTTATTACTTACTGCCTATGGAATATTTTTAATAGTATGTAATGAACATAAAGTTTGAAAATCAGTAATAGTTTGAAAATCAGTAATAGTAGCAAAGTTTGAAAATCACTAATAGTTTGAAAATCAGTAATAGTAGCAAAGTTTGAAAATCAGTAATAGTAACAACGAATTATATCATATAGTTCAAAAGTCAGTCAGTTGTTTATTGTTAATTTTATTTTGCAAATAAAAAGTCTTCATAAAAGGCAAACTGTATAAAGTAAATGAAAATTTTGTGATAGTAAATCGCTAATAATACGAAGTAAATCATAAATTAGAAATAGTAAATTGAATATTTTCTCAAGCAACTGTCATAAATTTCAAAACTCATAAGTTTGTATGTTATTAATCTCGAAATATATCAAGTAGATTTAAAATTATTAATCGTTAATATTAAATTATATTATATATAAACAATTTACAAGCGAGTAAAAAGCGAAGTGATGTGAAAATAACCAATCCAATCAGAAACTTGATGAGTGAATTTTCGAATATGATGTATTGTTTGAGAAAAATTATGCTGAAATAAAGAAAAGGTAAAAAGAGATATTATGTTAAACAACAGTTATTGATATTCATATGGTTACTGAAGCAAACTATTGTATTGTTGCTAAATAAACTTTTTTCAGAATTATTTTCAAAATCGTTCGATAATTAAATGTTACAGAAAAATTGTTCCAAAAACAAATGGATACTTTAAAGAAAAAAACGAAAACACTTGTGTTGAAATAACAGATGTACAATATATTTTTGTTATATATTTAAAAAGTGTACAAATGCTTTAAAGACAAAGAAAATATCATTGTTGTTAGGGAAAAAATACAACAAAAACTGTAGTAAAACAAAAGTCTGTATAGTATTTCATAAAATTCCACAAAACTTAATTTATAAATAACAGAGATTGGACATTGCTAACAGAATAAAATGCCATATGCTTAATGTCCTGTATATCAGATGCTTTGTAATTTAATAATTTAATAAAATAATAAAAAATTACCATAAACCATTTCAACAATCTTTTTCGTGTTTCTTAATACATATTTCCTGAAACTTAGCAAAAAAATATGTTTAATACACTTTTCGACATACATAAGTTAAGTAATTAAAAAATCAATAACTAGTGGATGGCCATATATATAACATACGGCAGAACCAGATTTCATAATTAGAATGGTTAATTTCATTGTGTTAGAGGTGAAAGTGAAAAAACAACACGTTTCTTTCTATCGTACTTTCTAATCAAGTACTTTAATTAATACAACAATAAAATTAAAGGTAATGATACTAATGTAAATAGTTTAGTTAATTAACCACACGCAATCCATCTCTTATAATGACAAAATTAAGCCCAAAAAGTACTTATGTAATCATAAACAACGGTTTTAAATTAGATACAAAAATTAAATAACACAACAGCCAATTCTACTTGTGTTGACAATAATTCAAGACTAAAAAGACCGTAAAAATATAATTAACAATTGAAAACTTAGTTAGTTGTAAATAAAAACTGTATTATTCAGTAATTGAAAGTCAGTAAGTAACAAATGGCTAAGTACTGTACATCAACAAATTTAAAAATCAGTGTATTTTAAATGGCATAATACGTGAAGTAATTTACATGTTAGAAGTAGTAAATAGCAAATTGTATCAGGTAATTTAAAAGTTAGAAATGTATAAATGGCAAACTGTATAAAGTAATTTAAAAATCAGTAGTACGTAAGGTACAGTTTCCTGGCATTTTCTAAAGGGATCGCTAAGGTTATCGTTCAGTTGTTGTGCACATCAACTTGCAAGCTTCACTACTTTGAAGAACGTCAAATGCGCAGGAAACAGCATGCTAGTAACACTCATACAAACTTCTATTTTTGAACCTGTTATATCATACAGTAATTCAAACCTTAGAATTTTGCTCTAGTTTTTTGTATCCAAACATACATTCTGCGCTTTATTTCATACTCTTATTACTCATTCATGACTCTTTTCATACACTCGGCACATCATTTCCTTTAAAATCTGTTTTTCTTTCACACCTTCTTTCACTTACTCATCCTATTTTTTTCGGTTTTTCAAGATATGTGTGGAAATGTTTTCCACATTTCCACACATATCATCGAGCACAATTCATTTTTCACACTCTTTCCACATTGTCAAAGCAAAGCAGATACTTTAAACGCACTTGATCACGCGCATTCTCTTACGAATGGCAGTGCATCAATACATTTTCCGGATATTTTTTTCACACAACATATACACATGACTTATCTCATTTTAGCTGCAATTTCTCAGATGTTATGCTTTCTTTTCCAAACCCATTCCTCATAACTATGAAACAAGGTTGGAGATGCACACTCTTTTACACAGCCTTATTAGCCATCTTCGCAAAGATATTTGTATGAAATTATCTCCTTGTGCATCCAACTACTTTCATACAGTCATTCATTTCACTTCCAATCTACCCATCTATTCTGTCACTTCTTTAAAAGGTGCGCTCCATGTAAACAAACCTTTTAACCTCTTCTAGCGTCATCCCTTTCAGCAGTATCTTCTCCTCATTCATTTGAAATCTCTTTCAAACACAAAACGTTTTGTTTTCTCTCTATTTATTCTCAATAAAATTTTTCTCATCTCAATTTTTTCACAATTTTTTTAAAATTTGCTGTTAGGCTATCTCCTCGATGTACTCCTCGTTATTACTGCCATTCTTTTCTTTTTTTTTTCTTCTTTCTTCTTCTTTGCAGCTTCGGTAGCTTCTTTCTTTTCTTTGCAGCTTCGGCAAATTCTTTATTTCATCATGCAGTAATAACGAGGGTAACAGTAATAATGTTTTTTTTCAGAGTACCACACCCTATTTTTGCACATTGTATCACACTCTTTTTTTACAATATCCCACAGAATCTGAGAGATTTTTTTTAATATTTACACTTCGCAAATTTCGCAGATACGTATTTTCTACAATGTAATTTTCGCTTCTTCAGGCACTCTAACTTCACACTTTCTAAAATTTTACTTTCATTGTTTTGTCTTTTATATAGCAAATCATTCAGCAATTGTATCATCGATCGTACCAGTTACTAGTCAGTACCTATTTCACACCGTTCATCGCATTCGTATCTTCCAGTATCTATTTCACTCTTTCATTATATATCACAAAATAAATTCTAGATTTTGCTTCAGTGTTCGGTTCTCCCAAGTATTCATGTGGATATGTGAGGAAAGAATGTATTGAATATAAACAAGTCCATTGCAGCACGTAGTTGAATCAAGCGAGCAGTATTGTCATTAACTTCATCAAAACTATACTTGTCGTCATATGGTAATAATTGTCGATTATTCACACCTATATGTGCATTTATATCACCTAACCACACAATCCGTATCCAAATTACCTCGCATTCGTTCCAGACATGCAACAGAACACTCCAGAATTTATCATTCTCTTCAATCACACTGAATTATCCTTTTTATGCCTTATAGTGTCAATCCAGTTTATGCGCGTAGCATATAGTATTTAGCGTGTTACAGATGTTAGATTAATATATAAGGTAACTTGGGGAAATATGGCACACTAGGTATATATTCTATATTACACTGAATGCCGTATATATTTTAATGAATAAACATTAATGTAGATTGCAACATTGTTCACACGGTAACAAACGAGGCACTAACCATTTCGAGGCACATGGTAAAGGCAGAAAAGACTTTAACTTACTTTCGGTAAAATTACTAGGATTTTATGTCCGTTTATGGCTGCCAAATGTTTATAAGGCGGGGGAAAATGTAAAATTAAAATGTGAAGCAAGTTCAGTTTTACATTTGATGTGAATACGTTGACTATAGTATCAGGCCAGATGTGCATATTCATGCTGAAAGTGATTTCGCTTAAAGCATAATTTTTCAAAATTGCTGTAATTTAGGGAAATATCCGCGGTAGGCAATGAAGAGATATGCCGTATGCGGCATACAAGTTTGTAGAACTTACATTGATAAAAAATGACTGAAATGTGATTGAATGCAATGTGTACAGTGTCTGTGTTACACTCATATTTATGCCATCTGACTATTTTTATGAAGATTACTCAGAGGATAACGCAGAAGTAAATTTATGAAAATTACTTATTACTTACCATAATCATTAGTTATTACATACTCTGACAATTACGCATTGTTAGTTGTTAGTTATCCTCAGTTACCAAATTAGGAACAACGCCAACTGTAAATATGTATATATACACAGCTCATCCGTAGCAATAGTTAAGTGAAAAGACAACATGAAATTAAAATAAAGTTTACAGGGATTTTAGAAAATAGAACATTAAATGAAATGCAAATAAAACCAAAATATTAATATAAACTATCAATACTATATACGTATATATATATATAGTATATTGTGTAAATTTTATATGGACTACATTTTAAAAAATGGATAAAAACAGTACTCATTTTTTCACAGTTGAAACTTGAACACTACAACATTATTGAACTTGTATTTTACACATATGCATCTGGAGCTTTCTTGAAAGCTTTTCTTCGCCTGAATAGTGAAATAAGATTTACTTAAAAACTATTAATTCACCTTTCGAGGTTATATAAATATTTGAAGTTGCTGTAATGCATTACAGAGAATACCACAATGTATTGATGATAATCTCTAATAGCAAAGTTGTGAAAACATTCATTTTACACTGAATTCTCTAACATTTAGTCTTTAATGATCATTACCTGTATAGAGAAAAAATAAATAATTTATCATAATTGATCGAATATAGCTTAAAATATATTGTGATTCTACAATATTCTAATTAATGCAGAACCAAAATAATTTTATATTATACGACAATTAATGCGTGCAATCTAGTATATACTGCTTGCATTGATTTTCATTTAAATAACATATTATATTGCTAAATTACATAACTCAAACAGTTAGTACTGTTTCTGAAATGAAATCTCTATTAAACATAGAACTACATGTGTTAAGTACTGTCGAGAAATTATCTTCGTTCGTCTTGTTCGAGATCTTGATCTATACGAGTTAGAAAATTAACAAATGATATGAGTCTGTTTAAAATATATCTAGAAATATCTGAATATCTTCTTTTCACTTTAAAGTCTTAATATCACTTTGAAATTGAATAAAGCACAAATTATCTGTAAAGTACAGTGAGTAATCGGTTAACAAACATAATTTGTTCCAAGACTTTTTTCTCTATCCGAATTGTTTGTTAACCGATTATCGATTTACCATAGCTTTTTATGGAAATTTGATTAATTCGTTATGGAGACTCCCAAAAGATAAAAAAGTATACTTTCTTACTACGTTTATTTATATGTAATAATAAAAATACATATATACACAGTCTCGCATTTTTATTAGTCATGTTTTTTCCGTTTGTGGGGGTTAAAGAATCTGTCCAATGTCGATTGATTTTCTGTCTTCTTCATGATTTTTCAGAAGTAATTAATAGCATTGTAATTGTAGAGATCCCTAGGCCTATTAACCTCAACCTGGTTTGGATGCTATTTTAAGACCGTTGTTCTGACATTATCCCACTTTTTCAAAAGATCTTTGATAGCAAATATCGGCATAAATCCTCATTTTCAGAAGAAAACGTATAAGAATTGTTTCTGTCAGAAATACAAAAGGCTGGAATTACAATGAAGAGTTTCAAAGTTCGGGGAATACTATCCGATCAGTATATACTGGGTACAACGTCGATGTCGACGTCTCCCGCACTCAGAAAAGTTTCGAATTGTTGCCTGAAGACAAAGGAAAACCAATCGGTATTCGTTATTTTACGTCGCTTCTTCTTGTGTTTGTTCAGTGAAGTGTTCGTTATCCGATCATAAAAATCTTTCGCGAAAGTGTTCGTTATCCGATATGTTCGTTAACCGATCACCCATTGTACTTACTTTTTCTTTTAATGATTTGCAGCTTTCACGGATAGTTTGAGTTTATTTTTGCTTAAATACTATTTCATGAGCATTAATTAAGAGATAAGTTGTAATTTTCGATTGTACTTACCACATTATCATTTCTAATGTAATTATTTTCCAAATGACAAATAAATTTAAATGTATATATCCCGTGAATTCCTGTAAAATTATTTTATGGTTATTATTTATTTATATTTAAACAGAATTATAATATACTTATTTGTGTTAGTGTTGTAAGAAACCAGAAAAAGCAAAGCTAAGAGTCATTCGAAAAAATCTACATAACAAAAGCATTAGTATTAGTACAGGTAAGCAGCACAAAAGTTTAATATAAGTAGTAGATATGTATTATATCAATGATGAAGTTTTTTATATACTTTTTGGCACAAAAGCACAAAAGTTCATGAAAATTGTAAAGACTTTCTATGTTGTATTTTTAATGCGTAAATTCAAGGAGCTTGTACATTAAGAATATGCATTGATGTAAATAGTTTTTAAGATATAAACCTATTTTCTGAACTAAAATATATTTAAAACCGGATTTTTTAAAATGTTTCTGTTTTTAGTAGTCTGTGATGTAGCGATATATATGATGGTGGTTTCTTCAGAATGCTAACCTCCAGATAAGGAACTTCGATGAACAGAGACTGACATCTATTTAATGCATCTTCATTACTCTTGCTGACATTCCTGCAGAAATATGGGCGAATAGGTTTCTGCTGTTTAGCAATTTAAAGAAAATATATAACCTTTCACAGGAAAATTTTTATAAATGTGTAGTCTATTAACAAAATGCTTATCTGCAGATATGTTATCACAATACAGAGATAATTACAAAACTTTTACATTGATGTAAGCAAATATCATTTGTTATATGAGAATTATAAAAAATTTAAATATCACATTTAGAAATTCTACCTTTTAACTTTTATGTGAATTATTTAATGTGATTAAGAATTGTCATATTTACTAATATTTGATAGTTATTATAGAATAAATTAATGAGTCTTTAATTAACTATAATTATTCTTGTTAATTAAATGTTATTGCTATAATAAGTGAATACAATGCATTAATTCTCTAAATAAAATGAAAAAAGTGCACAAATCTTACTTGAAGGCAATTGGCGGTTTCAAATATACATAGTGAATAATAATGAATATAACAAAATTTTAAATTTTGTTAACAATGCCACAATATCATTTTGCGTATTCAAATTATGAACGTGTTTATAGTACTTAATAAAATTATACACATATTCAGACGATTTAACTTACTTTGATTTCTCAGTTTCTCAAAAACTATTCTTATTCGGAAAATTTGCGTTCAACAAGAGTGGCTTCGAATAAACAATTGGCTTTCACAATTGTTAAAATTAAGCGCATTATTTACATTTAGTGTTAATGTAACAATGGACATATTTGCGTCATGCGCGAGCAAATAAGTTGTAAGAACTTATTTGCTCGCGTTACGATTCGTTACGATCGAAAATTTGTGTAGAGTTTACATTTCTCTAGAGGCTCGTTTTAGTGTGATACAATAGCAAAGTTGAGGCCAAAGTTTTAAACGCGAAAACTTGAACGTCAAACGTTCACGCAGATTTCCTGTAAGCCTAGAAGATTGACAACGGTGTTTGGAATGTCGAGCATGTTTAATACTTGCTTCTGTCATGCAATTTTTTCACAAGCGTGGAAAATTGCTAAGATTGTTCCAATGCCCAAACCTGGGTCTCCCTATAATGCTAGACCGATATCTCTTTTGCCTGTTTTGGGAAAAATTTTAGAAAAACTTATTGCTTGCAGATTGGCATGGTATGTAGAGCATTACAACTTATTTAGTGAGATGCAGTTTGGATTTCGGCGTCAAAACTCTGCAGAAGATTCTATCGAAGTGGTAGTTAAATTAACAATATGCAATCTTTATTGGAGGAACATAAATATGTTTTAGGGGTCAGCCTCGATATAACGAAGGCTTTTGACAGCGCTTGGTAGCCCCTTATCTTACATCAACTTCGTAATATTAACTGTCCACCGAACATCTGGAACCTTATTCGTGATTACTTTTGTAACCGTAAGGCTATACTACGATACGGTCAGCATCAGGTCAATAAAGATATTACTAGGGGTTGCCCGCAGGAATCTGTATGCGGACTATTGTTTTGGAACATCATTTTTGATACCTTCTTAAAAGAAGACTTTGGACAAATGAAAATCTTTGCGTATGCTGATGTTGTAATAATGCTACTTGGTGGCCGATCAAGATCTGATCTGGAGTTTAAAGGTAACACTATGCTGCAGAACATCTATCATTGGGTGTTGCGCATTAGTTACACTTCAATCCCCAAATAACACGTGGTATTGTTTTTAATACACCTGGAGAAGCTAATCTCTATTTTAGGCCGCCGCATATTAAAATGAATGGTAATACCATTAAGATTGGTCAAACAATAAAATATTTAGGTGTTGTGCTTGATTTTCGTTTTTCATGGGATAATCATGTTAGATATATTACTAATCGCAAAGGCCTAATTTTACAATCTTTTGCTCAAGTGGCAAGAAGGACCTGGGTGCTTTCTGCTGAAGCACTGTCCATCATCGACGATGCAATTTACATTATAACATATGCGGTTGGACTAAACGTAAAGTACATTTCAATCGCAAAATAGTCCGATATGCCTATTACTAAGGCATATCGAACTATTCGTAATCAAAGCCTTCAGGTGATTGCAAAGAAATTACCAATCGATTTTGCGATCACACAGAAAGAGAGATACCTACAACTAAAATGGGGAAAGACCATTCAGTGTGGTTTACGCACTATAGCCAGCGATGGTGTCGAGTGGAGCTTTTCATACTCTAACACCTTATTACCTGGTTGCTCTTTAAACTGCAATTTTGATGATGTACAATCTGCAGAATTAGATATTTATACTGACAGATCCAAAATTAATGACGCCGTCGGATGCGGCTTTGTAGTTTTCACTGATAACATGGAGATATTCAGTCAATCGATATGTTTGAATAGCTTTTGTGCAGTTTTCCAAGCAGAATTATTTTCTATTCTACAGGCAATTAAATGGGAAAATAATTATTATCCTAAAACAACTATACAATTATTTACAGATTCATTATCTGCTTTTACTCTTCTGAAAAGTTCAAAACTACATCCATTTGCTGAAGAGATACGAAATTTACCACGGACTACGAGCTGTAACTTTGCAATTACATGGGTAAGGGCCCACCAAGGTGTACAAGGCAATGAGAGGGCAAATTATTTAGCAAAACAAGCTGCTGAAAACACTGCATTGCCTGTTGAATATAATAAAATTAATCTACGAACTTTACGTCGAATATTATGGGAGGATGCTCTACATAACTGGCAGATCAAATGGGATAATAATAGAGAACACATCACACAAATTTGTCTTCAATATTAAAAACTTTATTGGCCTCAAATGGTATACACCAAACTCTTGTACTACGCAGCTATTATCAAGTCACGGCGAGTTATCTCGCTAGATTTACTAACAGGAGCTCAAACCTGTGTCCTTTATGTTCTGTGGAGGATGCTTCTACACATTACATATTTGATTGTATAATTTTTGAAAAAGAGCGATTGGAGTTAAGTCTACTGCTTAGTAGTTATGGTGTAATGTGGCCATGTGAGTTAGGGTAAACTTGCCTAATTCGTACCACTTCAGGAAAAACCATCATATTATCGAAATTAATAAACTTAAATTATTTTTTATTTTAAGTAACTTTTATTTGGGAAATATTTTATCACTACCATAATCAAATTTTGCATAAATCTTATAAACTTCTGAGAAATAAACAATTTAAAAAAACACTAAAAAAGTACGATTTAGGAACATTCGTCTTAAATCGTACCGATATATTCTTAAATCGTACTTTGAGATCCTATCATTGGTTTGCAGTCTTAAGAATAAAAATCTTTATCAATAATGTATTAATACGTGTGTATATTAACTCTTAACAAATTAGGCAGATGGTCTTCGCCAATTTTTGGCAGTCATCGCAGTTGTAATCCGTTGTTTTTTATTGGTTCCTGCGCAAAGTTCATGTACCCGTAACTCATATTGTGTGCATTTGATCATACTTTCTTTTACGTCTTCTTGGCATAATTTACAGTACCAACTGTTATTTTCATCTTCCTGTTTTTTT